CTGGGGCTGTGTGAGGCTGAGTTGGTCCCTGGACGGGACATCATTTTTGGGGCTTAGGGGCATTCCCCGGTTGGCTCCCCGCAATCATCCCAGAAGCCCCAGCTTGCTTGCCAGCAACTGAGCTATCGTTCCAACTAATGTGGCACAAACATGGCAATTATGACTTGGAAGATTTGAGCATGTTCCAAAGTCCCAAGCAGTCACCTATGAGCTTCTCTTAGAGTCTGCAGGCCCGCCGCTTTGCTAAAAATGGGGAACGGAACCTTTGTTTTCAAGGTTGGGGAAAGCAAGCAATTCACCATGTCAAAGGTCTGGAGCTCGAAAATGGATCGGGGCCGGGAGGATCCATGCTATGTTTTGCCGCAGGTTCTTCCCCAGAGGAGGACATGCGCACCCTGCTGATGCAACGGTGGCTTGGCAAACGATCGTCGCCGGGCCGGAGAATTCAGGCCACGACTTGTTTCCCAGCCAAGTGCTAGGTCCCCCAGCTAGGTGCCCGTTCTCGCCCCTTTTTTGGGTTCGGGTTCCCCTACTAAAATAGGCTACAGAAACAAAGGGCACCCTTATTCTAACCTCTCTACTGGAGGACCTAGTGGGATGTGTTTCGAGATAAGACAAAGCCCTAATCTTGGAGGGCTCCAATGCGTCCCGAAAGAGCAGCCCTTCCACCAATCCTTTAGAGGCAGGTTGCCAGGTGTCATTGGCCGAAGTCGATGCTGCGTTCTGGGCTGGATGCGGACCCGTTTTGGCCCAAAGAAAGCGTCGATTTGTTTGTCGCATTCCAAAACGATAGAACACTGGTCAATGTGACAAGCCTTGAACAGCCTACTTAACGTTTTTCCAGACCTCCGCCAAACAAAGAAAAAAGAAACAAATAGAAAGAAAGAAACACAACGCAGGTCCTGCCACGTCCCTTGGCACCGCAGGAGCGGAGAATTCGGGTATGGTACCTAGGGGACTAGCCTAGATAAAACAGTCTTGGCAACTTTGGTATTGCTGAAGGGTTCGAGTGACCCCTTGGTCTAAGCACATGTCTCACTTCAGTTGTTTAGAAGCGGGCTTCTCAAGAGGGTCGCCTACAATGGCTTGAAAAAGCAAGCTAGGAGAATGTTCCTCAATGACGAACCAGCGAACCAGCGAAGTAGGGGTGATTTCACCAAAAAGCTGGGTACACTCCCACCCTTTTCACATGGAACCCGACCTTCGGGTCCTGGTTTGGACCATTTTCCTAAAGGGACCGGGTTCCGAATTTCAGCTTCAATGTGAGAAGTGTGGGAGGGTATTCCCACAAGCTAGTTCCCAGCGACCACAGATTTGGTTATTCCCCAAAGATCGCCCCAAACAACCAGCGAGATCCAGCGCCCTCTTAGGGTTGATTTCGCCGGTATTCCCCCAAAGGGCCTTCTTTGGGGCTTATTTGGGCTCCCTCCCCTCCCTTCCCCCAGCCCCCAGCGGTTCCCAGCGGTTCCCCGTGCCATGCGCCTTTGAGGCAGACCCAGATTCTGGAGCTGTTGGCAGGCCAGGACAAGAAGCTCTCGCAGATGATGATCACGCTGGCGCGCCTTTTCCGGCATAAAAGGTCAGGTCGCCTTTTCAGTGGAAAGTTTTCGGACCCCTTTTCAACGGAAACGAGTGACTCACTGTGTGATGTATGAGGTGAAGCACATCGTATCTCTGGATCGTTTATGTAATTATATAAATATATATATATACACGTTACCGTTATATGGGCTGCTAGCAGCACGCTCCAAGAAATGAAGAAGAAGAAGCACAAACCTACAGTTTTTTTGTTTGCGGTTGGCCCCGAAAAACTGGTCTTGCACTGGCCCGACCACTTGCCTGATATTCTTTAAGAATCAGATCTGCTGAGATGTATTGAGTTTATTGTGTAATTGTAAAACCTGTTTGTTGGAATAACATACTTGTTTTGATAGTGAGCATGTCTGCCGAGCACTGCATCGACTAGCTCTCTAGCCCCCATGTTGTGCTATACATGACCAGAAGGCAATTGAGATTCTTACAAACTATGAAACTATTTTGTGTGCAACAGAAATGCATTTTAAGTTGTCATGTTGAGCAGTATGTGCAGATGCTATAGCAGGAATAGACACTGAGACTAACCTTTGTGGTGTTGAAGCAACATGTTTCTATTCAGTGAACAAGCACATATTTCATGCCCATGCATTGTTTGCATATCTATCATGCGTAGCTGCTCTTCGTTTCGATTGTTTAACCGAGTAGCAAAACACGTGCCATACCAACTCCAGGTGTGCTCTCTCTCTCTCTCTCTCTCTCTCTCTCTCTCTCTCTCTCTCTTCTCTCTCCCTCCCTCTTCAAAGAACATAGGGGATTTCTGGATGTCGGATCATGTGGATTAGCCACTGCTCAGAATACACGTATACATATATGTTGTTTCTCAGGCAGCTGATCCTCCTGCATCCCATGCCGAGTAATTAAACACATATATTTTGGTTGTAACTTGTCCATTGCGTTGAGTATGATACAATCAAACACGCAAACAAAACACAACTGCTCTACCCATGGGAGAACATTATCACGTCGACACTAGATAATGTTTAGTGTGTGGTTGATTGAGCCAACAGAGGCCATATACAACACTGGTACAAATTCATGTTGATGTGCTAGGGGGTACGTTGATTAGCTATAGTGTAGCGTTCTTCCGCTATTTTCAGTGAGAAACTGATTTCAGCTCCAGATGCGAGCCATATGCAAGTTTGGCAGCATATAATATATGTTGTAAACGTGGAGCTGCTGAACAACTTGACCGAACTAATGCTTGGACAATATGTTTTTGAACTGATTAGATGGAAGCCGAGCACACAAGTAAGCCAGAAAGCCAGAACCATTGAACACCCGGCCAATCTGGCAACTTTAGCCACAAAGCCAGACGCAGTTCGAGAAAACCGCAGAACACCGCAGAAGACGGCGTACAAGACGAACACTGCAGAAGAAACAAGAAGTGTCGCAGACTTGCGCTCCATGGTTCTCCCCAGCCGCCCACCCAGCCACCCCAGCCAAACCCGGCCCTTCTCAGGAAGACGCACGCCACCAGAACGGGAGATCGTGGCAGCCCCGTGATGCTGGGGGAGGGTGCTCAGGACGCCGGGGGAGCGCCACTCGTTTTTTTTGTTTTTTTCTTCTTGTCTGTCGGCGGCTTCCTTCACGCTGAAACGCTGTAAACTGTAAACCATCTTGGTGCACCATCTCTTGGGCTCCTAGGGTTTCTAGCAATGCTTATAGCAATGACATACTGATGGGCGAAATCCACCACTTGGGAACCGGAGGAAGCCGTTCGTTGCTATGATATTTACGGGGGACTCGAATCCTTCCCTTGGGTTTCTCAACGGCGATGCGATTTTTTTTCGAATTTCGGAACCATCCACAAAGGCTGAGCTGGCTGGATTGGGCCTAGGGATTTGAACAGGCCCCTGGTTCTTAAATGCGAAAACCAAGGCCTTGACCTGCGAAGCACCAATCCACACCAAGAATTGGAGGGAAGCTGGCTTCCTGGTGTTTTTCCGACTGTTTTCAGGGTAGGCTTTTTTTGGGGGGGTGTCTCTCTCTCTCTCTCTCTCTCCTGAATTTTGGTGTGTGTGTGTGTGTCGGGTGGGGTGGGGAAGCAGGCTATGTTTGTTAGCCTTTGATCTTTCGGGGTATTCGTGGGTCCTCCAAGTTTTAGGATAAACTAAAAATTTGGGCTGTGATCCTGTTGTGTGCACCCCGCATGTGGGCCGTCTTTCCTCAAGCTTTAACTAAATTTGGGGTGTGATCCTGTGTGTTTTTCTTTTTTTCTGCACCCCGCATGTGGTTGCCGTCTTTCCTCAAAGCATCAAATCCAAACGCTTGCCCAAGCTGTACGAACTTTGGGCCTTGAACTTCAAAACGAGCTTCGAGCTTTAGCCAAAAGGGCTTGTCTGAAAGCAGGGGCCCCTCCAAATTGGTTGGGTTCCTCTTGTTTTCCTTTGAACTAAAATCAGCATGGTACCTGCAAAAAAGACACACCCACAATTTACCCCCTTTTTGCTTTTGGACAAGGAATATTAATTTGAGCCTCCCCAGTTTGCAGAATTTATTAAAAGTTTCCCGTTGAAACCTGCAGCAAACGCTCCCACAGGTCAGTCTTAGTTTAACAGAAACAACATGTCATTTGATTGACATACATGAAGCGGTCCGCCATAGGGAACATCACTTGTAGAGGAGTGCTGAAATCCAGCTGCGTGTGGCCTCGAACCCGAAGGCGAGCGCAACCTTACCCGTATAGCTACGGCTGACGTGCTTTGTCGGAGCTCAAGCTCCCTCCTCAGCATTCTCTGCATTCCCTGCATCATCCGGACACAAGCCAGCCGACCTCCATGGCCCCACGGGCTCCCAATGCCACGGCGGGCTGAGCCTCCCTGCCAAAATTCGGCGCCCGGGAGTCGTTAGGGGGGAAGTGGACATATAGCAAGGATGCTTGTGATCAAGCAGCGGGGCTCCCACGAAAGTCATGTGCGGAAAACATTGCACATGTCGCGACGTTTGTCCGCGCTGTGTGCGCGCCGCCAGTGGGCGTGGGAGGGTGGGGCCAGTGGTGGGTTGGGGGGAGGGTGGAGCGTCCCTTGGCGAGTAACTCTAGACATACAGACATATGTGTCCGAAATCTGTGTCTGTGTATACACATGCACATGTAGGACCGTGATGTACATGAGGGTATCAAAATTGAGAAGCCCCCGCCTTCCTCTAACAAAACCATGGTGCTCCGTTCCGACTGCGACAAAGACAGGCCCATGTTTTGTGCACAAGGTACCCATGACAGCTATAGTTCGTAAGCTGGTGCCAAAGCCAACCGGTCAGAAGTTACATCTTTGTTTCACATCAGTCGCGCCACCCTCAGGGTCATGACCCCCCCCAATGCAGACCCCCGGACCCTCCAATGGAGAACCCCGACCCCTCAAGGGCCCTCAACAACAACCCATTTGCAGGGCCCAAAAACAGTCAGG